CTGAAATCCGGAAGTATTTTGAACCTCAAATTCCAAACTCGCCTCCCTTGTTTTCAAGCAAAAGTTTTTGCAACTAGAAGCACTCCCTAGCTTAGGAACCCATTCAAACTTCATTMTAACTCATCCTTAGTTGCTAGAAAACTTTTGACAAGGTCACATGTGAGAAGAAGTCTCTCACTCCATTTGTAGACCAAATTTGTTTTCTTGGTTGCYTGGAGTTCTAAAACCTCAAAGAACATGCATTCTCGACTTATTCTAAACTAAAAATAAAGGTAGAGAGGTGAGGGTCTTAGGGAACTCAATACCTAAGGCCCGATAACATCACCTCGAGATCGATCTCAGGGGAAGTTAAGAGCATGTTTCTCTAGATTTCAGAAATTCTAACAACTGTTTCTACTTGTTTTCCATAGGAAATTGAGCTTGAACAATTCTTGTATTTGGTTGCTACAACAGCTTGGAGAGAGGAGTGTCTAACACCTTCCCTTTCCCAATCCTTGGAACCTGAAGTCTCTCGGTTGTGTGCATTTTCTGAGAACAAAGTCACTATCAAAGAGGTAAATCGATTTTTTGAATTAGAAAATGATGGCCCATTTTCTCTGAAAAATGGATGGCGACTCCATTTCTTTAAGCCACCCATGAGCTTTTCAGAGCTCACACTCAGGCCTAAGCCCGGTCAAAAATTTAAAAACAGATTTTTTCTTTTTTTATTCAATAAAAAAGTGTTTTATTTATATTAAAAACCCTCAAAACTAAAAAATAATAAAAGATCTCACTATTACTTGAAAAAAGAGAAGAGGAACAAAGACAAAATATTGTATAGATTTATATTAAATAAAATGTCTTTAGTATTTAATATATTATCAAGTTGGGCTCAAGTCGAGCTTTTTTGAAAAATCTCGAGCTCGGCCCATAAAAAGGTAGGAACCGGTGTTTTAGGCCCAAGCCCGAACCCACAGGCCTAAAATTATGACCAAGCCTGATTTAAAATGGACCGGGCTGGCCCATGAACAGGTAAATGTACCAGTGTTTTGTACATGCCAATGAAATTGTTCATTCCATTCTATTTTTTCAAACCTGCCCTTTTTTCATGCATATTCCATACCTACTCCTTATGAAAGTACCTTCTTCATCTTACATTAATTTTATCAAAATACCCCTATCGGTATGGGTAAGGTTCAAAATTTTGATACGATGGCATATTGTATTGTATCAGCAAGTCTAGGATACACAACAACATAAAGGCCTTTTGGAGTTTTGACCACTTTCCAGGGCAGACAGGCTATATGGGGCATATGGTATTGCATCAATAAACCTTCGATACACTAAATAAAGGCTTTTGGGGGTTTTGACCAATGACCACTTTTAGGGGGTAGACAGGCCTAAGACTAACCCTCTTACCAATTTGGGAAAATTTAAAAAAGAAAAGTTGTGGTATTGAAAGTTTGAAACACCTTACACACAAGCTCATGAGTATGTGTATCAATACTTCCAACCTAAGTAGGGGTGTTCTCTCTTGTCTGATTGCAGAGGATTTCAACTCTATATTGATACTGTTGTAAGATCTAAAGTGTGAAAGGTCTTTCAAAATTCTGATCCCAAATTTAATCTTTTTCTTACTATTTGGATAAGAATCCAGGTTTTGGTCTTTAGGATGAAATTTCAATAGCTAATAATCTTATTTGGCGTAGAAATAAATTAGGGTTTTAAATTATCTACATTTCAGAAATGCTAGGCTGCTTTTGTTTGGTTTGGTTAACGAAAATCATGATAAACCTGGAGTTTCCAATATCTGGTTTCATCTTTTTTATTTTTATTTGATAGATAACCTCTGATTTACCTTAAACCAACAATAGAGAAGGCCAACAATAGTGAAGAAACTATAGCCTTTACTGTTTTATTAATTACTAAATAGGAATAACAGTTAATAACTTAACATGTCCAATGGAGATGGACGACAAACTATGAACCAAATATCGAAACCACAACATGTAACCAAATTTAATATAATTTCACTCATATGTAAATGAATATAATATTCTATGCTAGTTGAATTTTGCAATCAAGTAGATAGGTGCTATACTTACATCCCTTTACAARCAAATAAAGCTAGAAAGATACTCCATTTCAATAAACAGAAATATGAACAAAACTATAAACTGGATTGTCATTTTGTCATTGAAGAAAGTGTGCATGCACATTTTAGAGGAAAACTCATAAAAATAAAATAATGCAAAAAATGTAGAATCCGGACAATTTAACAAATTGGAATAATAAATTGAAATACTTATTGAATAATTTTAATACAACAAACCCCAAAAAAAAATGATGAATAACATTTAGTAAGTTGGTTAATGCTACAATGGATTGATATTGCTTGATGGACTTCAAAACCACCAATCAACTCTGTTAACCCAGACTTTGGCATCAATGTATTTGGATATGGCAATCCTATCATGTGTTGTTGTAAAGGTTCCAAAGCTCCTTGCATCTCGAATAGATGTGTCATGTTTATAGTTTATACAGCCAAAGGAAACCACTCCAGGAAGTCAACAGAAGCAGATAATTTCTCTCACCCAAGTTCTAGTAAAGAATATGTTACCAATAATCTGCACAAGAACAGGTTCCATTCTTGAAAAGGTGGAAGCGGTGCATGTCCCTCACAATAATCTCCCGCCCGGTTACATGTGAGATGTACTTTGTTGCATTATGACAGTCACCACATACACGAAGGTTTTTCCTGATGTGAATGGTGGTGCCTGGGCTAGTATTTATAAGCGCAAAGGCAATGGCCAGCTTTTCACTATGACTGTTTAGCAGCTGTTCCTGGACATCATCCTCAACATCATGTATTGAATTAGTATCAGGTACATAACCAGCAGCTTTGATCTCATCTCCTAAAACTTCAAGTGCTGCATATATCCTCTTGGATTGTGGGTGGTTTGAGCTTCCAGAGTAGAATGTGTGGACTTCATTTCCCAACTCAACCATACTGCATCCTGGGGTCTTCTGAAGCCCTCTCCTCTCCATCATAGTTCTCACCTTGGCTACATCATCCCACATGGAAGCTGTGGCATATATATTAGACAACAGAACATGGTATCCACCTTCTTTAGGCTCTAGCTCAAACAGCCTCTTTGCTGCTTTCTCCCCCAACTCAACATTTTTGTGAATCTTACAGGCTCCCAACATGGCACCAAATACACTAATCTCTGGTTCTATAGGCATCTTTTGGATGAAGTCCCAAGCCTCATCAAGATGGCCAGCACGGCCAAGAAGGTCCACCATGGTTGCATAGTGATCAGTCCCAGGCTCTATTTCATAATCATGTTTCATCACAGTAAAGTAACGACGCCCATCTTCCACCAAGCCAGAGTGACTACAAGCTGAGAGAATGCATAGAAAAGTTACTCCATTTGGCCTCACAACCCCTGTTCTCATCTCCTCGAATAGTTGAACTGCATGTTTTCCTAACCCGTGTGTCCCATATCCATCTATCATTGCATTCCATGTTGTTACATGTCGCTCATCCATCATGTCAAAGAGTTTCCTTGCAGTGTGAACACCACCACATTTTGCATACATGTCCACCAGAGCAGTCATCACAAACACGTTTGTGTCCAAACAAGATCTAATAGTGAGTCCATGAATCCACCTTGCCTGGCGCAAAATGGACAAATCTGCAATGGCGGGAATAACACTCACCATGGTGAAAGAGTCTGGTTTCACATTCTCCTGCTGCATCTTACAAAAGTAACTCAGAGCCTCATTTACCCGGCCATTCTGTGCATAACCAGATATCATGGCATTCCATGAAACAAGATTTTTTCCCTGCAGGTTATGGAAGATCTTTGCAGCAACATCAACTTGTTTACACTTGGAATACATAGAAATTAAGGAGTTCACGACAGAAACATCAGAACCAAGTCCATTTTGATTCAATAATTCATGAATGTAACTTCCCCGTTGAAGATCACCCAAGTCAGCACATGCATGTAGAGCTGCCATGATAGTGACATCCGTGGGTTCCACACCTTCATCCATCATCTTCTGGAAAATTTCCATTGCTTCCTCAGAATCTCCATTCTGGGCATAGCCATCAATCATTGAATTCCATGATACCACATTCCTTATATGCATCCCATCATAAATTAACCGAGCAGTCTTTACTGACCCACACTTGGAGTACATATCAACAAGAGCAGTTGAAATGTTCACCAATGATTGGAATCCTGCCCTAATAACATATCCATGAACCGCCTTACCAATCCTCAATGACCCAATATCTGCACAGGCCGGCAAAATGGACACAATTGTGATGGAATCCGGCCGCTGGCCTTCCTGTTGCATTTGCACAACCAACTCCAACGCTCTCCTGGCACAATTGTTTTGAGCATACCCAGCAATAATTGCATTCCAAGCAACCAAGTCCCTTTGAGGCATCCGATCAAACATCTTACACGCTTCACCAATCTGACGACACTTTGCATACATATTAACGACGGCTGTCATTGCAAAGACATTCGAGCTGAACCCATTAGAGATCAATTGAGCATGAATCTCCTTCCCCCTCCTCAGGTCCGAATTATCACCACAACCTTTCAATAAGTACGTGAAGTTATAGACAACGGGTCGGACGTCATCGTACTTCATTCTACAAAAGAACGATACGGCGTCTTCCAGGGATGAATTCTTAGCATGCCCCTTGAGGAGCGTGTGATATAGAGGATCGATTTTATCTTTGATGGGCTCGAAAACGAGGGCGGCCTCGCGGAAGCGACCGAATTTGGAGAACAAACTAATGAGCTTAGTTTGGAACAAGTGTTCATTGTATAACCCGTTCTTTATAATGAGGGGGAGGATTTGATTGACTTCTTTCATATCTGAGCACATTTCCAGTAGGAGAGCCGCGGGGTGAGTGAAGACATGAGGAGGAATGTAAGTCTTGTGCAATTGAAGGTGTGAAGAAGGCTTTGGAGAAGAGGTGTTGAGTATAGGAGGAGGGGATGAGCGGGGGCGTGATTTAGAGAAGGCTGGAGTGGCGGAGGGAGGCGTTAATGGCAGCAACAGCGTTGAGCTTGAACCCATCTCCTTCCGAGTTTCTGTTTGGCTTTCTTCATATGAAGCAAGAAGCCATCGAGTTCGAGGATGTGGCCGTTAAGAGTATGGCGGTAGGATACGACAATGATATGGTGGGTGACCATTTTCGCGGTTCTCTTCAATTGACCAGTACAAGGCCAGTGTCGGGCTTATATTGGTTTGGACCGTAGTTATTTGGGCTGGGCTTTCTTGTATCGGATATCTAGCCCTCAGCATCCTCGTTGGCAACTGGCGCTCATGCTTTTAGGGGTGATTAGGCTAAACTTTCCTTGGATAATAAATAACAGAGGTTGTAGTCCCATACCACTCTTAGCTTAGACAATGGGAATTACTTAGTTGCATTGCTTATTTTAAGGGTTTGTCTACTTTTTGCTGTTAAAATGTCCCTATAAACACTGACTTTTTAATTTAAAAAAAGGAGATAAATCCTTAAAAAAACGAATGCCAAATGCAGCCTTAAACCTCTTCATTGACATCCTCATTTTCTTTTCCTTAAAATGTTAGAAGAAATTATGCAAATAGACCCATAAAAAATGATGGAACGCTTTTAAGCATTTTAAAATTCCTAAGTTGCCCATAGATGAAAATATTGGAGTATCTGTTGATCACAATGCCCCTAAAAGACTCTTTTACATGCTTATTGCAAACTTTGCCTTCTAAACAAGAAAAGCAAGTGGGGTAGCAAATGGTGTTTGTTTCTTCACTATAATATAAAGGTAAATTTAGGCCCTGTTTGGCGGTACTTCGTGTTTTATATTTTCAACATCACCAACAAAATACATGGTATATTTTTTATTTCGTACTTTTACTTCAAAAACCATTTAGATGGGAATCTTTTAAAAACATGTTTTTCAAAGTAAAAGTAATTGATGACATTTGAATACAGCAAAATGTTTTATACATGTGAGCATACAATTGTCATTAATTATAAGTTAATTATACTTTAACTTGTAATAACTAACAACATATTCATAATTTACAATAAACAAAAATATTATCTATAGAATATTTGAGAATTAATGTATTATCAATAGAATTGTATGATATACATGTATCCCACTATATTAATTGTAATATACAACTTCCTTATATGTAATCAATAAAACATGCATTTATTATGTATTTCTACCTTATTTGTGGTTATTTCAACCTTAAATTTAGTATTATTAATGTATTTACAAGATTTATGACAATTTCTGTAGTGTATTCAACCCTATCTATATTTATCCACCATATCCATGCAATTTCAAAGTGTATCCAAACTTACTAATAAGATACTCCAAAAGCTCACAAATTTTGCAATACTTGTAGACTTTAAAAGAAATTTCATAAATAGGGTTATTTTTTCTGATGTGGCATTTTTTCAGAAAAAAAAAAAACAGAAATGTTCATGTAAGAGGATTGGGGAATGCCACCAATTTCTTTATTATTACCAGAGGCCATTAGTCAGTGAAACTATTCGAACTACACATATTCAAGCATAGAAAGTAGGGGTGATCATTTTGAACAGGCCCAGAAAATCTGGGCTTGGGTCTTTTTGTTCAGTTTCATAGCTGGGCCTGAGCTAATACTTTAGGCCCAACAACCCTTGATACACACACATACATACATATATATGTATGTATAATGTATGTATGTATATGCCATTTTCTTTACTTAATATTGTATCTCCTTGTTCATGCATGAAATAATACTTATTATGCTAAGGCCTTTCTAAAAGGAAAGAACACAAGGTAGTGGAGACAGACCCAACTAATGGATTAGATTTAAAGGGACTCTCTTCAAAGGAATACCTACCCAATGGATAGAAGGAAAAATGATTTCACAGCACTTCCTTTCACATTTCTCTTTTAATGTTTTCTGTCTTTCAGGTTTCATGTATGCTTGCTTCCTACCATTACATTAGCTTTTAAGGCAGAGAGACTGAACAATTATTGAGTTCTACTTCTACCCACGAAGAAGAATATAGAAAAGAAAATTTAACTTTGCATGTGTGAATTCACATCTGCGCCCCACAAGGGGTTGCCCCACAATGTCTCACAGTGCATTCCGCCTGTGTATTGAGAACATCTCCCGATGATGACATCATCGGAACGTTGTGGGTGCAGATCAGAGCTCTGCATGTATATAGTGCAGGAACCATTACTTAGTGTAAATGGTAAAATCTCAGTCTGGCAAGTGTAAAAACACAGCTTTTTCAAGCGTGGCCAATCGACCACTTTGTGCTATACAATGTAAAGGTCAGGATGATAACAAACAAGGTTGAAAGTGTTGGTACTCGCTAATTCATAACTTTCATGTATCACAAGTGTTGGTACTTGGTACTCCCTAAATCTTGAGAGTTAGGACATTTTGCCACTTTTGAAGGGTGATGCCATTTTTACGGGGATAGCACATCACCACAAATCGCAATTACAAAGAAAACCCAAAGGAAAAAGGAAGATCTTGCAAATTAAAATTTAATAAACCTGGAGGAAAGGATTGGGCTTGGTGGGCTATGCAGTCAGCTGCTCAGTTCACCTCTTGGTAGACATGATGTACTTCAAACCAAACTCGAATTGGGTCTTCAGGGCAGTGCAGTCTTCAATGATGTTTTTCATACTTCATAGCGGCTGAAGTTCTCCACGTAGACATGAGATGGCAAGCTTGGAATCCCCTTCAATAGATATGAAAAAATCTTTAGGCTTCAGCCATATTGATAGTGGCCTCCCACATAAAATTAGCCTTTATATCCAGAACTTCCCCACCACAATTTCTAACAATGGCAGCAACTGCACATTTGTTACCATCAATGCATGATGCATCAAAGTTAATTTTGATTACATTACTTTTTAGACATTACCAAATGATCAATTTCCATTCTTTATAGTTTTCCCCAACTGGCTCAATACTTTGAATCTTGGATATTTCACATATCACCTATTACAAAAACCAAACCGTATTATACAATTTGGTACAAAATGTATCCATACGTTTAAAACTTTATACTAAATCTACTCCTCCCAACATCTAATCCTAATCTTAGGCTCAATTTAGAAAGAATACAAATATAAATATATAAAAAATCATATAAAATACTTGCACTTTACATATTTGTATTTATACTCCTTCTAAATATACCCTTATATATCCTTCCTAATTTATATATACAACAATCTGAGACCAACATTGGACAAGCGCAATATCTGATCTCTCTTCCCTTACTGATTAGAGTGGAGGCAGAAGCAGCTTCAACTTTGTTGTTACAACAAGAAATCCATGAACCGTAGCCAAGAGTTCCCAATCTTCGAAGCCTTCTCAGCTTGGTTAGAACATGATGATGATGGTGGTGATGCCACCAAATCATTTCCAGTTGATTTCTTTGGGTACGGGAAAAAGTTCCTCGATCCCAATGTTATCAGCTTCTCCTCTCGATCCAGACCTGGCCCCCACCAATCACAATAATTAGCAAAATGTCCAATTTCATCGTATCATTTCTACTACCAAAGAGAGACAGAATAGACTAGAAATTAGAAAAGCTACGCCTCTCACTAGATTAGGCTCTCTGATTAGACTTCCATCAAGAAAGAGAGAGAGAAGGCCTCACTGGAGTTTTTATCTAACGGTTATTATATTTAATGAAGTAGGTAGATGTTAATCAGACGGTTCAAATGGGACATGCGTAGAATAGAATTACAGATAGCTAAGTTGTTCCGTGTTTACACGCAAAACAATGGAGGAGGTTTTTAACTGCTTACTTTCCAGGCTGAACTGCGAATAATGAAGATCGAAGGCGGAGGGGTCGGTGGTAGGAAGGAAGGGTCTCCTACCCTCCTTCACGTACAACCGCACCGCTGCTGCTATGAGATCACCCACAGTCAGTTCCGGCGACATCACGGAGGAAATCCAGTTGCGGTTATCATCTCAATCTCCGGTAACGGAAGAACCTGAGGCGAGGGAAGCCGAGAACAGGGGAAGAGCTTAGGCTCTCATGTTCCAAGGCTTTGGCAGCAACTAACATAACCAGAACGCTAGAACCGTGAATTCGGAGGAAGAGATGCGACGGAGAGGGGCGGAGGCAGCGGTGGTGGATTCATGAAGGGAGGGAAAGGCGAAGTGTGATGGAAGATAAAAGGCGCGGACGTAGGTCGAGATTCGAGAACGAGAAAGATTGGAATGGGACATTAGTTTGTAGGAGGTGACCGGATATTGTAGGTTACGAGGAACCCCACAGGGTCGTAGAAGGGGAGGGCGGGGCGGGTTAACTTTGGCTGTTAAGGCCCATGTTGAGTTTAGGCTGGGTACGTTCTGGACAGTTCATTTATTCACGCTCATACATTGATTTTTAATAAAAATAAATTAATATGAGAAGTTGTAATTGCACACTTGATTAAAAAATTATATTTTCTCACATTCAAAAATTATAAACTTTGTTTTCAGTATTTTAATAGGAATTGATTTACACCTCTTAAAAATAGTAAAGGAGAGTATGAGAGTTTGATATCATGCAATATGCGTGTACGCATGTGTGCGACGCAATGAGGCGCTTTAAAGGCGTACTTTGCTCGCACTCCGCATGCACCCACATGGCTCACGAAGAGTGGATTTGGTTTTGGTGCGATGCTAACCGTTGATGATATTAATGGTTACGATTCGATCGGGTGTGATCAAGAGGCACAATTCAAAGTTAATAGTCATTTCTTCGTAAACTATTTAAAGAGCATGAATTAGACTTCAAAACACACATTTTCGAGATTCACTTTCTCTCTCTCTTTCAGTCCAGTCTATGTCTCACAGACGCGCCTCAGAACTTCTCCTCCAAAATTACAGTGACCCCAATTTCCTACACTTTTATTAATGGTTATTCCCATTTTTAGAGGTATAAATGGGGGCGGCCCGACACGGTCCGCAACACGACCCAACACAATCCATATATATTATTCATATATATATATTATATATTTATATATACATAATATTTATATATTTTGTATAAATTATAATTATATAATAATATATTAATAAAATAAATAATTGTTTTCAATTTTTTTAAATAAATAAGCAAAAATAACTTTGACCCGGTTCATGGCCCGACTTGGGCTAAGGCTTGGCCCACGGGCAAGCCCAACCCACAGCACGGCACGGGTCCACACAATCCTGGGCCGTGGGCCGTGCCGGGCTACACCTCTACCCATTT